CATCCTCTTGCTCCTCCAAAACGCCCCCACATTCTGGCAGGAGACGACAGAGGGCGGTGAAGCCTTGCACCTGGGATATCCAAATGCCAGCTCGCTTTGGAGCGAGGAGCCTGGTTTTGAACCCAAGTCCTGCTGTGACCAAAACTACAACAGAGCTCCTCTTCCTCAAGCTCACCTCTCAAGGCAATAAGATTGCTCGGCCCCCTGTGCTCGCACCAGAAGGCAGAGGGCAGAGGGAAGGAATGGCGCTGTGGGACGCCATCAGCCGGAAATGACTCTCTGTGTGCCAGCGCTGAGACGCCAACGTGACAGGAGAGATGGTGGAGTGCATGAGGTAAGATTAATACAGCCCATATCACATGGCTGTTTCCGTGAAATAAAGCAAAACTCGGAATTTCACAAGCTGGAAATCTGATTAAAACATTATGATGCATTCCGTGTGGCGGCTACGCAGCAATCCCTCCAGAGAAACTGCACAAGTGGGCATCCATAAAGAGGGTGATGGCCACCATAGATACCCATCAATCACCTTTTAGCATAAAAACCTCCTGACCTCAGCTTCCCTTCTGCAGTGAGGGGAGTAATGACAGCTTCAGTGGGCCTCCTGTGGAATTCCAAATGGGAGTCAGAAATGAGGCGGTTCAATCAGTGGGAAAAGGTCAAGTGCATGCAGATTCGCTCTCCCTCACCATATCCATTCCTTCTCGCCCTGCTCCACTTTATGCCCCCACCTCTCTGGTGCTGAGGCAATCAGGGTAAAGGTTGTTATTTCTGCTGCAGTTGCATGTGACCATACTTAAATATTCAACTGAAAAAAATCTCCCACTATCCTAAATGTAGTTTTTTCCCCCCAGACAGCAGCCATTGAAGTGGGGTGCTGCAATTGGATAGGAGCAGCTAATTCCACTGTCATGTCTCACACTGTCTCAGACAACAGTGGCTGGAGGTCATTACCTGAGCACATTACCTCTCGATGGCGCGGCGGTTTAAAAGGAGAAGCAGCTAAAAGCAAAGCAAACTAATGGCTCTGGCAGCTCAGCCTGCAAAGGCAAGGGCTATTAGGAAAACTACAATTCCCTGGTGAACCTCCATGTCATGTCCTGAGGCTGAGTGTGACAAGGCCAAGTTGTCTCTGTCGATCAAGCCGGAGGAGGGCTGAACCCGGCCTGACATGGAATGAACCTGGGATATCAGGCTCCGTGGGAATTTTCATTTACACCTGGCTGATTGGCACTCTTGGCCTCCAGGCTGTTGTCACAGAGGGTTATGGCCACAGGTGTGTTAGTGTGTGTGTGTGTGTGCACATGTCTGCACTACAAGGCAGATTTGGGATCAAATTCTCATCCACACCCCAGATGATTAAAACGGAATTTCACGTGGTCACGAAATACATTTTTGGAATTAGACTTTAATGTGGTTTTAGTTATAAAATGTGAAATATCTCATGTTTTTATTTAATTTATTGATGTTATCGTGATCATTTTTTTAAAATATGCCAAATCACCAGAAGAGAGCCTGAAGTTTGACCTAATCACAGGACACATGTGGGTGCAGGCAGTGAACTGAGTGGTTAACAGGGGGCAGGATCTACAATAAGCCTGGGTGACCACACACACACACACACACACACACACACACACACACACACACACACACACACACACACACACACACACACACACACACACACACACACACACACACACACACACACACACGCACACACACGCACACACAGGGTGACAGTTGCCTGCTTAGGAAGTGTCACCCAGGCACAGATGCTGAGGAATTAAACAAATGAAAACCTGCAGAAATTTGAAAAAATAACCAGGCAGAAATATCCCCATCAAGTGGAGGATTCTGGACCTGTTATTCTTTAGCTGACATGTGGCGGAGTAATTGCTGTCTGGGCCAAGAAGAGGAAAGCGTGGAGGTGAGGGTGGGGGGCTGGTGGGCCTTCCTGTCCAGCCACCTCAGTGTTACTCATCACTGGACCACTGCACCTCTCTTTTCCCCTGCAGGAGGAAAAGCTTTAAACTTCACCCCTGCTTCCTGGAGCTTCTGGCACACACCGGAGGATGACAATCACAGGGAGGGATGGGTGAGGTTGCCGCTGGCTGAGGTCAGTGGCATCCATTCACCCCCTCTGTCCCTGCAGGGCCTTTCTCTCTCATCTGTCTGGATGGGTGCCCTCTCTCTGGGGCACAACACTATGAGAAGCCCTGGCTCCGCTGCCATCTCTGCCTTTCATGTCTCCATCTAGGGCAGTGGTATAGAGATGTGGAGAGGAGGACGAAGGAGGGGGGAGAGAGCTGCAAATGTCACCCATTGGGAAGGGGGGGATTTAATTAAAAATGACAGGGGCTGGTGCTGGAGAGTGCAGCCACATATGCGTGGAATTTGGGTGCAGTGAAAGCAAGTGCCTGTGATTTATAATTCAAGTAATGCTCTACACTCCTTTTAATTCTACAGCCAAAGGGAAAAAAATCAAAAGGCTGCCCCTGTGAGGCTAATCCAATATGATATTTTTAAGGGCAGGCGGTCAATAGCTTTTCTGAAAAGCCAGCTTCTCTGTCTCCCTTTCTGCTTCTGTCTTTTCTCCACTTGTCTGCCTCCCCCCCATCTCCCTCCGCTGCTCCCTCCTTTCTCTCCCGTCTCCTCAGTGCATCACCCCACCCTCCTAAAGCCCAGACACAGAGCGGGCTGTGATAATGGAAACATCCCGCTCTCCGCCTCCCGTTTCTCCTGCTAAGCTCTGCGCGCTCGGGGGAAATTGATTGTCTGGCTAGCCGATCTGAGCGCTTCCAGCTGATGGTAGAGCCAGTTAAGTCCTTTTTTATTGAGGGTATGAGGGATTTTTAATGGGAGTCGCATCAATGAACTGTGCAGCCACTCAGCATCTGCATGCAGGCTGTTTTTAAAAAACCCATCATCCCAACTGTTCTCCCACCTGAGTGTCAGACACACACACACACACACACACACGCACACACGCACGCACACACACACGCACACGCGCACACGCACGCACACACACACACACACACACACACACACACACACACACACACACACACACACACACACACACACACACACACACACACACACCCTAAAGTGTAAAAGACAGGAGATGCAAATGACACAGCTCACCCCTTCCTCACCTCTGCCCATCTGTACTTGAAGGCTGTATTCTTCTTTTCAGCCTCCTGTTGTGAGCCCAGGTCACCTTACCTACAACCGCCTCCCACTTTGGCAAAATCTGGGCCGCGACCAATCAGCCACGAGGACCTGCTCAGCATGGTGACCTGAGTTCGCCCACGTTCTAAGCCAGACCCACTGTGTGCTTCTCTGCACCCCTTCTGGGTCTGGACGAACAATCACCTTATTGAGGCCAAGTGCTGCGCAGTGGTGGAAATCCAACACCAGCCCCCCTCCCTCTCACCCCCTCACCTCCCCCATCCAAGGACAGAAAGGAGGCTATTATGCCCAAACATCCTCATTATGAACCTCAACTCGGTAGCTGCGACAGTCCTTCAATCAAAGGGTTTAACAGGTGGAGAAGTAGAGCGGCAGTAGAGTAGAGAGGGTCAGTAAGGAGGAGGGCAAAGGGAAGGGGGAGACTGTTCTGGTTCTATTGATTTGAGTCCTAACTCCCACTGGCTGCTCCTCCATAAAGGACCTTGAGAGGAAGTGGGCTAATCCTGTGAAATTGGAAGTGGGGAATCGATTAAGAGGACTACTGAGGATTTCCTCCATTTCTCTCCCTTCCTCTCACCGTTGCCTTTACTAATTTTATTTTGAACACACACACACACACACACACACACACACACACACACACACACACACACACACACACACACACACACACACACACACACACACACACACACACACACACACACACACACACACACACACACACACTTCACCTTTCTCTGAAACCTCATTAGCGAACACCGGTGAAACTTGCTCCCTCATGTTTCCTCTCCCTTTCATATGGAGCTAACCAACGCTGTTCTCAGGACGGAGGGAGCACAGTCACCTTGTTGTTGTGGGCCTCTTTAAAAGACAACTGGAGTGTGGTTTAAAGCTGAGAAGGAGCTAATTGAACACCAACAAGCTGAGAATGAATCAGTCATCTTTTCAGCTCTAAGAGGTGCACTTGGCAGCCTTTCAGTGGGCTGTTTCCAGGTCTGAAGCAGCGTTCCTCTGATGGATGAGGAAGCAGAGACTCTACTTTTCCCACTAAGCTTCTGTAAGCTCAGGTTCGAGCCTCCCTTTTGCATCGGCATGATTTTTAATCAGCTTGAAAGAGTTCACAGGTCCGCCATGTAAACAAAAGCTATTATACGCCCAAGGAGAGTTCAACACGGAGAAAAATAATCTGTCAAAAAAGGAGGAGATTATTTAAAGCTCCAGAAAAGTTTGGAGGAAATTCACTTTCCTGATGGCTGCGGCTCTTTTTAATCCCAGACTGGTCAGAGCTGGAGGGTTTTTGTCAGGTTTGTGACAGTTTTCAGCTCTTCTCCGTCCTCTTTACATGGTTTTTGTGAGCGGACAGAAGACGGTGGCTTGGGGAACAAATGCAGCAGCTGCCACCCTTTACACGAGGCGGGCACGGCCAGGGCCAGACACTGTAAATGTTTACAGACCCTCAGGGTCACGGAGGCCAGTGAGGCACGTTAAACAGTGTCTGTTCGGCTTTGTTGTCACGACTGCGCAATCAGCACAGTTAAACAGCCTCCCTCACAATAAGCAGCCAAACAACACGGCGGTCCGGGGTCTGAATGCAAAGTGAATAAAACTGTTTAGAATTCCACACGGCAGCGAGGGAAGAAGTGACAACAATAGAAACTGGAAACTCTGTTTTCCTTTGCTTCACATTCAGGGTTAACCACCCATCATTCACAACGAGCAGCAGATTAAACACACAGGCCCCTCTCACAGCTTCTCTTTGGGCAAACCGAACCGCTTGCCATCACTTCCTCACTTACATTTCCGTCCAAGGACTTGCGGTGGCTCCAAGGTCTTGCTGGCACACATGGGGTGCTGGGGCGGAGGGTTCTGCCTCCTCTGCAGACAGGCCAGCATGGCGAGGTGGGCACAATACTACAGCCGGGGGAGTTCTGCGGCCAACCTGTGTCAGAAAAAGAGAAAAGAAAATGTAAAAAGATAAGGAAAGTTAAAGTTAATACGGAGTCAAAGCTTCGCGGCTGTGTCCGGCGGGTGGTTGGAGGCTAGCTGAGGGCTACGTGTCCTCTGTTTCCTACCAGGGATTTAATTGGAAAAGCATGCCTACAGCTGCCTGCCTCTCAGCTCTGTGTGCTGAATGATAAACACACACCTGCAACCGGGGCAGCACTGTTGACACGGAGCAGCACAGTCCAGATCAGTCACTCTGCAGCTTCAAACTGCACCTCCACACAACCATTCAACCGCGTCTCCTGTCTGTGAAGCCATCCTCAAAACAAACCCACAGAACCACACACAACATAGCAACACTCAGCTCATTCTTTCCAGGGCGGTGTGTATGCGGTGATTGATGGTGTTATCTATGGACAGAAAAAAAGTATCACTGAGAAAACAGCAGCCTGTCTGCTACAACTTAACATGCAACAGCTCTGGGGGACTGTCAGCAAAGGCCCGGGGCCCTGAGCAGCATCTGGATGTATGTGTAGCTGAACTGTATAGATCCATGTGTGTGTGTGTGTGTGTGAGCAAATGTGATGGGTTGGGAGAAGGAGACTGCCAACCGTACATCAGGGCCAGTGACGGCACTAATCAATCTCCCTCTAGGCCATAAATCTCTAGCTCTGCACCCCCCTCTTTACTTCCTCCTCTTCCTCGCCAACACCTTCACGGCAGCGGCTACCAGTCTCCTCTCAAAAAGCCTGCCGCAGTCCCGGTGGAAACACGGGACAGTCAGATATAAATATGAATATAAATATAAAAGAAAACCCTTCAATAAGAGCCCTCAACAATCAGACGGCATCGAGGGGATCATTCATCAGGAACGCCGCAGTGTCACACAACACAATGATGACTGATTACAAACTCTTCTGCTTGGATTATGTGACAGACGAGAGCGGCTGAAGCAACAATTTGTGCCCAGAAAAGAGTTTTTATATGATGAGGATCAAGATTCACTCCTTATTGCTTACTCAGCTCATAACGGTTAATGCTTTTATGGTATTGAATGTTTCAGAAGGCCCAGGCTCACCTGAATAGTCACGTTTACTACAAAAAACATCTCTTATATGCATTTTGTGTCTTTAATTTTACTTCAGTCCGTGCATGACCCTCCTTTTCGAAACAAGTCAATATGAAAGACTACCTTATCCAAGAGAGCTGGTCCTCTCTCATATTAAAACAAAGAGCAGAAGCAAATATTTCATCTGTGCTTTCAGCGCTAGCGTCTCCCGCCATGAAGCGTGGCAGGAGATTGAAAAATGATTCCTCCTGCTCTTGTCACAGGCTAGTCCACTGTTATTTATTTTCTCAGTGAATCACTAAATGAACATTTAGCCACCTGCCATCAGTCCATTACTTAGTTTCATAGATTAACATTTTATTGTGAAAGAAAACAATGGCGGTGATTACAGGATAAATTTGGTGCTGTGGAAAAGCTCTGGATCCCGTTCTGGCTCATTTAGAGACTACAGAAATGCAAAACACAATTGAAAGTCATCTACATCTTTGGTGCATTCAGTCAAAACAGCCTTTACAAAAGATGTAAGGCGCATGTGGTATCTGACCAAGATGAAAAAGTACCCTAAAACCCTTAAACTTATATGCGAGATGGACTTGCTACATGCAAACCGAGATATTTTAAGTCTTTCTTTGTTATGAAGATGATTATGGCACACAGCCTATTAAATTCCCAAATTTTAAATCACGGACAATCAAGCAAGGCAGCTTTATTTGCATAGCACATTTCATACACAGAGGCAATTCAATGTGCTTTCCGTTTGCGAGAATAGCACGAACAATAAAATAACGAGACAGCGCAATTAAAATACACAAATTCAGTTCAGATTTAAGAATCAGAAAAAAACAAAGTTAAAGGGTGAACAGTTACAGTGCAGAAGGTGCAGCATAAGAAACAAGGCTGATAAATACAGAAAAGTTCTCAATTTTGATTTAAAAATTGGAGTTGGGGCGCATTTGAGGTCATGAGGAAGCCGATTCCATCCATAGCAGCTAAAAGCAGCTTCGCCCCGTTTGGTTCTGACCCGAGGTTCTACCAGCTGACTGTTTCCTAAGGATCTCACAGCCTTGTTGGCCGTATGCAGTGGTCCCTTGTTAATCGTGGGGGTTACATAAAAAAAAATGCAAAAGGCAAGAACGGCTACGCAGCCAGATTTATTTTTACAATTGTTATAGATGCTTTAAAGTTGTAAAACCCCTCACTACACACTTAATGCTTGTCTGAGAAAGTGTATAAATATTTTCACACTTTTCCCTCTTGTTTAAACACTCTCAATGCAAAATTCTGCTAAAGGTAAGACTTGTTTTCATGTGTATTTATTAGTTTTCCCATAACTAATTAACTAAAATGAGCGGCCGGAATGTTTTTCTTCACAAAAACACCACTAGAACACCGTACGCTGATTTATTACAGCCATAGCGGCACCAAGAGCATTCCACCCCTCTCCTGCACCTGCTCGCTGCTACCAATAACTTTAAAACCAGGAGAGACAATGAATGTGTAATCACCAAGCAAAGACTTTTCAGATGGTCACATCTAATGCTTTTCCTCCTCGCCACGGACATTTTCCCGTTAGGCATGAATTCTTCAACTGTTACCAGCACATATGGTCACCGCTAGCTTGTCCAAACTAGTCCCGCATCTCCCAATTGCTGATTGTATTTTTTCCATTCGCCTAGCTTTTCTATGTTTTGATTGGATTTTCATTAATGTCAATTATCATTGTCCCCTTTCAGTTATTGACAGAGAAAAAATCTGCGAAACGGCAAAGCCATGAAGAGTAAACTGCGTTTTAGCGAAGGACTACTGTATACCAGAAGGAGAGCTGACATGGATGCAGGCCCTATGCCACTGAGTGATTTATAAACTGGTAGAAGCACTTTGAAATCAATTCTGTAGTTTTCTGGTAACCAGTGTAGAGATTTAAGAACAGGACTGAATTAGAATATATTGAACAGTTTCAAAATTCTAGACTCAAAGTTTCATAATCTACTCAGCCAATGAATCCAAAACACTTGCAAAGGGTTCCTGAGCCTTTAGATGGTCTCTCAGTCTGAGCTGAATCACTGACATAAATACACTTTAGCACCATTTTGCTACTTTTCCAGTTTCACTTGTATTATAAGTTGGTTTTGTTCAATAAAACATCAATCATAAAACCACAGATGCATGTTACATAAAAAAATAGCTGATTCAATAAGTTGTATTTACTTTCTTTTTCTCAGAAAGTGAAACGCAATCTGAGCCTAGAATAAAAAAATGAAAAGAAGGCCTTTCTTTATCACAGAATGAGAACAAAATTGAAGAATTAAATTCCCAAATCTTCACATTCTTAGACAAATGTAGACGGTCCCTTCTTAAATATAATTTGGCAAACTGATTTGATTTGATCAAATGTGTCTTTTTTTAAATAGTGCTCTTAGAAAAAAATGTCTGCGTTTTAAAAGAAGATTATGACAGTGGGTTTCTTCCACCACCGTTTAGCTTGTGATTGATGGATTGACAAATGCAGAAAGGAAGTATGAGAGACAAGCCCATCTTCCTGCCATGTAATTACAGCTAAAAGACTTTCCTGGGTTGAATAGTTAAAGATCAGGAGCAGGTGCTGCAGAAATGCATCAGCACTTCAAATAATTCAGTCTTTCACCCATAAAAAGCCTCTTTTTTTCCCCTTAAAGCCGTTTCCTCAAGACATTACATTTGACCTGAGACCTCGAGGCTTGTACAATGCACTTAACACTTTAAGTCACATGGGTATTTTTAAAGCCTGTCACCAGCAGCACAAAACAACACTTTTAGCACAAATCTGACAGCGAGAAAAGCGCTAAAAAAGCATCTCACTGATAAATAGAAGTAAATTAAATCCCCACAGTCCACAGTCCAGCCCCCTTCTTTCACACACACATGCTAACACACCCACACACCCACGTTGCAGATGGAAGAGAGGGACCACTCTGTCTCGCCAGGTGCTCGGAAAAAATAAATAAAAAAGGAGGTCGCTCACAGTGCCATTTCCTCTCACACGCAGGCAGGCCTGGCCCAAACTCACTGGTACTTTGAGATCATTACTGACTATTCACAAAATCCTTTCTGTGTGTTCTCTCTGCGAGGATACTAATTTCACAACGAGCCCATCCTCACAGTCCATTTGTCCAAAGATAGTGGTTGAGAGACAGGAAGCAGACGCGTGGTGCAGATTGAGACTAAAAGCTAGTCTTAACGGGGGGATACCGCTACAGTTTTCCTCTCGCTAAAATGAAAGACAATCGTGTAACTACCCTCCATTTTTCTCCATTTGCTGCACACCAAATGTATTCGGAGGCATTATACTTCACTAAAGGAGACTGGCTTTTTTTCCAATTCAATTTCAGGAACCAATTTACTCCTATTATTGCCTTTAAGAGCGAAGCAAAAGGAGCAAGTCTTCGGCTTGTTTGTCATGTCCCCCTTTCCCCTCATCTCCTCCTATTAGGTTATTGTGCTACTTAGCAGATGTCTATCAGTGGCAGGAAATTATCTCCGAAACCAAACGCCTGTGACCCATCACCCAGCTGCCCTGAAAACAGCCTGTTTTGTTGAGGTCAATCTCTGTTAAGGTGCTGGGCTAAGGCAGGCACGCGCGCACACACACACACACACGCATGCACGCACGCACGCACGCACGCACGCACACACACACACACACACACACACACACACACACACAGTGCCCTGCATGCTGCTCAAAACACCACCTGCACTTCACTCACACATCAAATCCACTAGGTCTCCTGTTACACCAGAGCAGGGATATCTAAAAGCCAGAATGTCTATCGGCTCTTTCCCGTTCTGCAGCAGGGTTTGCAATGGGGGCGGAAGATCAGTCCCATGAGATGAGAGAATAAGCCGGAATCAAGAGACGGTGGGCTTGGCAGAGGGCTATTTCTTAG